GAGTTCATCTAGCAACGAGTGATTAGATGCATCTACGTACCTTGTAGATCGCGAGCAGAAGCATTCAAAGAACGGGGATGAGGGAGTCGTACTCGACGTGATTCGAATCACCGAAGATCCTAGCACCGAACGGACGGCACCTCCGCGTTCAACACACGTATGGAACAGCCACGTCTCCTCCTTCTTGATCCAGCAAGGGGGAAGGAGAGGTTGAGGGAGATGGCTCCAGCAGCAGCACGACGGCGTGGTGGTGATGGAGCTGCAGTACTCCGGCAGGGCTTCGCCAAGCACTATGGAGGAGGAGGATGTGTTGGAGAGGGAGAGGGAGGCACCAAAGATCAAGGTAAAAAGTCCTCCATCTCCCCACTATATATAGGAGGGCCAAGGGAGGGGGGGCGCCGGCCCTAGGAGATCTAATCTCCTAGGGTGGTGCGGCCAAGGGGAGGAATCCCTCCTCCCCAAGGCACCTAGGAGGTGCCTTCCCCTCCTAGGACTCTTCCTCCTTGAAACCCTAGGCGCATGGGCCTCTTGGGACTGGTGCCCTTGGCCCATGTAGGCCAAGGCGCACCCCCTACAGCCCATGTGCCCCCCCGGGATAGGTGGCCCCACCCGGTGGACCCCCGGGACCCTTCCGGTGGTCCCGGTACAATACCGGTGACCCCGAAACTTGTCCCGATGCCCGAAATAGCACTTCCTATATATAATTCTTTACCTCCGTACCATTCCGGAACTCCTCGTGACGTCTGGGATCTCATCCGGGACTCCTAACAACATTAGGGTTACTGCATATACATATCCCTACAACCCTAGCGTCACCGAACCTTAAGTGTGTAGACCCTGCGGGTTCGGGAGACATGTAGACATGACCGAGATCGCTCTCCGGCCAATAACCAACAGTGGGATCTGGATACCCATGTTGGCTCCCACATGCTCCTTGATGATCTCATCGGATGAACCACGATGTCGAGGATTCAAGCAACCCCGTATACAATTCCCTTTATCAATCGATATGTTACTTGCCCGAGATTCGATCGTCGGTATCCCAATACCTCGTTCAATCTCGTTACCGGCAAGTCACTTTACTCGTACCGTAATGCATGATCCCGTGACCAGACACTTGGTCACTTTGAGCTCATTATGATGATGCATTACCGAGTGAGCCCAGTGATACCTCTCCGTCATATGGAGTGACAAATCCCAGTCTTGATCCGTGTCAACCCAACAGACACTTTCGGAGATACCCGTAGTATACCTTTATAGCCACCCAGTTACGTTGTGACGTTTGGCACACCCAAAGCACTCCTACGGTATCCGGGAGTTACACGATCTCATGGTCTAAGGAAAAGATACTTGACATTGGAAAACTCTAGCAAACGAACTATACGATCTTATGCTATGGGCCAGTTCTTTTGGGTAATTCTCCCAGAATTGACCCCCTCCCCAGCTTCTCCCAGAATTGCCACTTGATATTTTTTTACAATTCCTAGCTAATTAGACCTTAACTAGCTAGGAATAATAGACACCAATTGTCTTTGTTGACTAGCTCGTTGATCAACAGATAGTCATGGTTTCCTGGCTTACTAGGGACATGTTGGTGTCTATTATTCACACATGTATTACGATTTCTGGATAATACAATTATAGCATGAACAAAGACAATTATCATGAACAAGGAAATATAATAATAATGCTTTTATTATTGCCTCTAGGGCATATTTTCAACACGCCCGTCCCGCCCCCGGTTGAGGAGCGCCCTTCCGCCACGCGCCGAGGACGCCGTGCGCGCACTCCAGGACGACTGCATCGCCGGGGTCGCCTACCTCATCCAGGTCCCGCCGGTGCTCGCGACCGTCGCTCGTGACAGAGGAGAGGAGCAGGAATCCAAGATGTAGAGGGGGCTGCGGCTCGATTCTTGTTGGATCTGACGCGAGAGCTGGTTAATTGCGACGAATTTTGTGGAGCTCAGGGCCATGGCAATGGGCGACGGCGGCGCTCCTGCATGCTGCCCTGCTGGTTCGAGGGAGGGAGAGAGAAACTATGATGAAATGCTGACAAGTGGGCCCATGTCCAGCAAAAGGACGGTTCAACGTAACGGTGTTAGAAATTGATGCCACATCAGCCTGACTAGTGGGCCACATCTGTCATAAACGTGCTCAGTCAAGGCAAATACGCCGATCAGTGTTATTTACAAAAAGATTACGATAGACACGGTGTTTTCTGCAAAAAAAAATGTATTGTAGTGGTTTTCGCAAAGCTGACCTTCAAAGTGATGGTTTTATGTAATTTACTCACAGAATGCTCAAAAGGTCTTTTGAAAATTCTATGAATCAAAGAGTGGGATGTCTATGTATATGCGAGAGAAAACTAAAATCATCCTAAATTGAGCAGAAGAACTAACTAAATACAAACACATAGCATGAAGAAATTACTAGGGCCCAATGTTGGAAAGAACAAGATCCAGATTCTCATCTCGAACCAAAATTGCAAAAACCATCACAATTGGGGACCCTAATTCACAAAACCACCATCTTTCGTTTTTTTTCTCAAAAAACCATCACCATTGTGCTGACAGTTTTCACACTGAACAAGCAATTAGAGTTGTTTGAGTGAAAATCTGACCAGTGGGTCCCAATGACAGGTGCCACGTGGCCCGGGTAAAGACGGTGCTCGTTACACGCGGTTAGAAAGTTTCGCTCCATGTTAAGTTAGACGTAGGACCCACCCATCAGTGTGCTTGCTCCTCCCTCTTTTTTCAAGCATTCTTACAAACACCTCCCGTGCGCCGCCATCGTCGTCTCCATCACGGAGCTCGAGCTGCTCATCCAGGGGTTCGGGCAAAGCTGGCGTCGGTGCGGAGTCCTCGCCGACTGATGGCGTCGGACACGGCGTGAGGTGGCGGCGCAGCCATGGCCGTAGCCGGCAAGGTGGCTGGTCGTGGCACAGCCGGGTCATGCGCGCGGCTCCGTCCGTAGCCGGCGGCGAGCGGAGCGTGGAGCAGGATACATGAGGAGGAGGGGAAGCGCGCGGGGACGAGCTGGAGGTGGCTTGCCACAGCCGGCGAGGTGGGTAGTCGTGGCCGAGCCGAGCGGCATGGTGCGGTAGGACGCCCCCGGAGAGCACTGCCTTGCTACTGCGTAGCCACCGCTAACGAATCGCCGCCAGACCATGTCCATGAGCTCCGCCTCCTCGCGCTGATATCCCTCGCCGACGTATTCGAGCAGGGACGCCCGGAGACGACCGAATCGAGCTTTTCTCCGCTGCTTGCACCGGCCGCTCCTCGCCGTCAATTCGCCGCCTCCAAGCCTTCCCAGTACCCACTGAGCTCTCCCGCCGCATCGAAGTGAGCTGCTCTCAGTTTCCCCCCATCTTCTCTGCTCTATTTCGCGCCGTAGCGCCATCCCCCAAGAGCTCCGAGCACGACCACCGCCATGGCCGACGAACTCAAGCAGGTCGTGCTTCCCTGCCTAGTCCTGTAGTCTAGTAGCATGCGCAGGCTCCAGGAGCTCCTTCGATTCCCCTGAGAACCTCTTCGTCTCACCCCTGTCGTGGTCTGCTCCCGGCGGCCTCCTGCAGTCCGACGACGGCTGCTTCGTCGGCCAGAGGCCCGTATAGGAACAGGAGCTTTTGGGCATGTCCTGCATCCATATTCAGCTTGTGGCCGGAGGCCATGGCAAGCGGCCGAGCGTGCTGCTGCGTGGCGCAGGAGCTAGCGGTGCTGGGAGGCTCGTCGGCCGGCAGCCTGGCTGGCCGGAGCCGCAGGGCGTGCATGTACACGGAAGCGCTAGGTGCTCCTCGTCTGCTGGCTGCTGCGCGCGGGGAAAAGTCAGGGGGGGGGGACAGGGTTGACCAGTTGTGCCGTCTGTCCTCCGTCACGTGGACATGTCATCAGGACCCACTGGTCAGATTTTCACTTAAACAGTTTTAATTGAGCGATTAACGTTTTCTGAAAACTGTCAGTACAATGGTGGTGGGTTTTTGAAAAAAAAAAAACGAAAGGTGGTGGTTTTGTGAATTAGGGTCCTCAATTATGGTGGTTTTCTGCAATTTACTCCGGGCATTCATGCTCCCTCTTCGATCCCGCCACTAGAGCAACGCGACAAAGCCAGCGGTGAGGTGTCCCTGTGGATCCCGGGCTTCTTGCTCGAGCTGGACGGCGCGCTGATTTGACTGCCGGAGGACTGCTGAGCCGACGACCCCGACCCTGAGACGTAACTGCTGCTGAAGCTCCTGAGCTGCCATTCAGGGACGTAGCTGGGCCTAATGGTTGTGTCCACGTCAGTCACCTCAATGTCTTCCCTGAGCATGGACACGACCTTGGACATTGGTGGGCGTCGCTGAGGCAGGCCCATCGTGCAAAGAAGAGCGACATTGATGAGTCGCGCGGCCTCTTCCTCATCGAATTCAATGAGTTTACTGTCCAACAGTTCAAGTGTCCGTTGGCTCTCATGCAGATGCCAGGCCTGAGAGTAGTGGTGAGATTAATTTCCTTAGTATGCTGAGCAAAGTGAAGTAGATGATTTATTCTGAGGTCGGGATAAATATGTGAAAGCTTACACATCCAAGAAGATACTTCTCATCTTCCTCGAGGCTGTCATCGAAGTTCCGTCTCCAGTGCCACGACGCCGAACGCAAAAACGTCGGCCTTTTCCGTCAGGTGTCCCATCATGGCGTACTCGGGTGCGAGATAACCACTAAAAGCAGAGAACACCGTGAGCTTCTGATCGATTCTCTGTTATGAATCAAGGTGCATGGAACGATTAAGACGGACAGCAAATGTTCTTACAGCGTGCCAGCTACTCCGGTGTTGAGATGCGTCATGCTGTCCTTGTAATGCCTGGCCAGCCCGAAGTCAGAGATCTTAGGGTTGAGATCAGCGTCGAGCAAGACATTGCTGGCTTTGATGTCCCTGTGGACTATCCGCATGCTGGACTCCTCATGGAGGTATGCGAGACCTCTTGCAATGCCTATGCATATCTCGAAGCGCGTTCTCCAATCTAGGTTCAAGTCTGTCTTGCCTGCGTTTTCACCGAAGATTTAGACACTTGGAAGGATACTTTTCATGGTGATGATTTAACAGCAGACATTTCAGGTGGACAATGACAATGAGAATGAAAGTTACCAAAAATTGCTTGATCGAGGCTCCCTTGTTCCAGATACTCATAGACCAAAAGTGGTGTCTTACTCTAGATTGCGTATAGCAACGATCTACAATGAAATTTAGAGCTGCTTAATCTTGTTGGAAATGTAACCAACCTTGTAAACAGGTCCATATCCCCCTCTTCCGAGAATGTTGCTATCACTAAAACTGTCAGCAGCAGACTTTATTTCACCGTAACTGAAGACGTTAGGCCTTCCAACTATACTGAACAGCTCTGCAAAATGAAGCACGTGTCAATTTCTCCCCATGATTAACACTAATTTTAATGGTTTGTGTTACCTTCCATTTCCACCTCTAGCCTTCTTCTTTTCTGCCTCCAAACAAAGGCCCCAGCGAGTGCTAGAAATCCTAAAATTGCAACACAGACTACAACTCCAACAACCAAACCTGTTCTACTGGTAGTGCTGTTTCTCTGTGAACCAGGATCCCCTTCACCGTTGCCATCTACAGTAGGCGTAAGGTAATAGAAAGTGGACTGTTGTTATATGATTTATGTAACTAATTGATAGCACAAGTAACAGTACCATAAGAAGATACGCTTAATGCTGATATCGATGGCCCATAGAACCCTTGGTCAGGAATGCAACAAGTGCCCTTTCCAGCCCAAAAGAGATGAATATCAATGAAATTATTCGTTACTTCAACAGTGTACTGTCTTTGAACAGCAGTATAAGATTTTCCATTTGTTTGTTTCTTTATATCGAAATCTGTTTCTTTAAGATCTCCCTGCACCAGGGAAGCAAAGCAAAAGATATTAAAGTCCACAGAGAAAAATGGGATATTCTAGAATCGGTTTAGTGCACAAAACAAATGAGAATCAATGCAAAATATTATTATTTGATTATATATTCAAATAATAAGCCACCTGGATATATATATTGAAAATCCTCTTTCCCATGCTTTTCCATGTCTGGTCATCTGGGAAAAAAATCTCTGCAAATTGAAGTACAACGCTGTACATGCCATTCTTGAGCCCAATGCCGTAGTATCTCAATGAAGAGGGTGACATTCTGGCTGTCTGAAATAGTTCAGAATCAAGTGTGTTGGTAAACCGGCGAGAAGTGTATATTATATAACTCCCATTAGACGAGTCCATGAATCTCCCGATGTTGCTAACGCCCCATCTTGTTGAGTTCGTAACATAGTATGATGCAACTGGAAGACTGGCATCATCAGGTTCGTAAATGGAGTTGTCTGAGCCTCTGATGGGTCTCGAACCACCAGAGTCTACCGCAAAGGAGGAATCTACAAATTAGGATCATTAAAAAAGTGATGCAGATTTTAGTGATGCCCAGAGCAGATACTGCTAAGGATGAAGAGATCAGGGCTCACAAGATGGAGAATCAAAACATGGAGTATCTCGCTGAAGACAATTTAGTCCTGAAGGCAAAATACTAGGAACAAAACAGATAGTTTGCTCACATGGTGAATATAAGTGGTTCATACATATGAAGGGAAACTAAATGAAGTAATGGGGAAAAACCTGTTGTTCGAGTTATCTATCCCAAAGTTGTTCCACACCAAATTCCTAAAAGAAATGCCATTCAGACAGTTAAGTCACAAACTGCGATGTTCACGGAAGTTTGTTGTTTCACAGTCCAGAATACAACAGGCATGATTGATTTTGTCTGCCTTATAAATGGGAATTAGAAAAGAAAAACCTACACATGTAAGTTATTCATGTTAACCCAAGAAGGGTATCTTCCTGAGAGCATATTGTATGACAGATCACTGCAAAGACAGATGACAGACATGTTGACCAAAAGGATGAAGAAAAACATCGGACATACATGCTGTCGTCAGTATGAAACAGGAAAAGGAAATTAAAACGAAGGAAGAAAACAGCTCACATAGTAGTAAGTGAAGGGCTAATCATATCTGGTAGGATCCCAGAGAGGTTATTACTCCCAAGAAATCTGATTCATCTGAACTTCAGTTTGGGGAAAATAAAAATACTACTTTAAATAGGACTTCCAAATACACTAGATTCTATACAGATATCCTTACAGGAATTCGAGGGGATTCAGGTTCAGAAGGTTTGGAGTAACTTTGCCTGTGATGCTGTTAAAACTCAAGTCCCTGCCTCACCCAGAACGTATAAAGAGCTTTTTAACACAAAATACTTTACTCTCAAGTATACAGTAGATTCCAAACAGTTCCAAAATTGCTTACAGATAATTGAGGTTAACAAATTTTGAGAAGTCCACTGAAGCAAGGTTGTCAGATATCCTGGAGTTTCTCAGATCTCTGTAGGAAGAGAATAAAGAGGTTATCCCACATATGCGAAGACATGCAAAGTTGTGAAGTGCAAACTAATAAAAAGTTGGTAAGAGCAAACTGTGTCACCGTACAGAGTATACAACGACGTCATGTTAACCACAAAAGCCAATGAAGACAGCTCTCCCGTTAAATCACCAATTCTCCTTCACAATATAAAAGTTAGTGAACAACAAACCCGATTTTTGCACTAAGTGCACAACAGCTGTCACCAAATCTAAAGTAGGAAGAACATACAAATTTGTCAAGTTGATAAGATTAGAAAAACTTGCAGGAATGGGACCGTCAAAGTTATTTCCATGGAGTCTCCTGCATTGACAGATACATCTAATTAGCAGGGAAAAGAATCAATTCTTTTACAAATTTTGAAAGCGGGCTCCAACATGTGATACAAAAGAAGTACAATGGTCTAAAACTTTTTTTAGAAAAACAGTAACTTCAGTCCTATCATGAACATTGAAGACAGATGTGAATCATTTCTTGGCTCAATTCATCATTTTCATCAACAAATTCTTCATATGATATCTTACAGATCCTGCAAATTTGATAAGCTTCCAATGTAATCAGGTATCTTCCCAGTAAACCCATTATCTGATGCCCATCTGGATAGATAAGGACGAAGTTAATACACTGAGTCTGTTTTAATGACTTTATAACAGATCAGAAAGTATGAGAAGAGAATTCACAGGGATTTCAGGTTCTTAAGTTTGGAAAAGGAAGATGGTAGCTCTCCACTTAAACCACAACTATCGATATACCTGAAATTGAAAGAGAGAAATGGTTATGCTGAGTTTCATTACATGGGTCTTACAAGGAAAATTAGGTCAAGCAGAACCAAGACATAACAGTTGCTCAAGTTTGGTCAAGTTTTCTACTACTTCGGGGAGTGGACCGACAAACTTATTTGTGCTAACGCCCCTGAAACATAAGGAAATGGAGGTTCAGAAAATACAAATATGATACAATTGGTACATAAAAAATCAGGTGTTTAATTTATGGAGCCTACATCTTTTATTTACTTTGCATGTAACTTCCATAAACAAAAAGATTCTGAGCATCACAAATAAAGTGAACCAACAGATTGACAATTGCCACATATGGCTACAATACTTTTGTGTTGGATTCGAGTTGCCACAATAAAAAGAGATATATTCTCTTACAGAGAAATGAGATTCTTGAGGTTACCCAGCTCGCTCGGTAAAACTCCAGTTAATGCATTGATACTCAAACTTCTTGTAATTTTGAAAAGAAAACAGGGCAAGTTATGCACTACACGAGATACCATTTACATTTAAATGCTTCAGAGAAAGATAAATCATAATTCTTACAGATACTGCAACCGAGTCAGCTTTCCAAGAAATGCTGGCAAAGATCCTGTCAAGTAATTCTGGGATAAATCCCTGAAAGCGGCGAAGCGCATCAGAATCAATGTAAAACTAATGTTTCCAAATTTTCAATTGCAGAAACTCTTATTGGCTGGCAGGCATCAGCATTTAATTCGTATAGGCCTTGGAAAGTAAAGGCAACTAGAACTACCATGCTACCAAATGATATGTAACATAAATGTTATTGCATGAACTATAGAAGTAGCGTGAGCCTGTTATAGTTAAACTACAATTTTCAAGTTATTGGGAAAAAATCGACTGAAAATAACATGTAAATAAAGGGAAGGGCGTCTGAAAACCAAACACATCAACAGAAGCGACTTATATTGAAAGAGGCATAACTAGTCAACGAAGAAACTGTATGTATAACACATGAATACTCAGTTCGCACCATTCTAACCTATAGATGTAAGATTAGAACAAATAGTCTATGAAAAACTACTGCACTCCTTCTATCTCCCGCTAATGGCATGCATCATACAGTAACTAGGGGAACTGCAGCTTGTAATTGTGAGCATGTGTAACACTTTAAGTGGACATCCATTAGCTTTGAAGCTTCATGGTGGAAATAGTTCATACAGTACTGTCAGGTAAGTTAAATTTAGCAGTTCCGCGGGAATCTGACCAACCACATCTAGTGCATATACTCTCCTGCATGAACAAATGGAAGAACAATAAGTATTAGCGTAACAAATTGAAAGCATGGACTAGGATGAGAACATGCAATTATTCACAACAAACAAGAAATGTGTGGTGAGTTCACAAGCATGCAGACACATTGGATCATATCCCAATTTTCAACAAGTTTGCCAAAGAAATTAATATAATCATAAAGAAATTCTAATGTGCGGTTGTCTTATATGGATTGCTACAAAAATCTTGAGCATTTCTTGTTGATGGTAGACACTTCAACATATATTCCAACAATGAAGTAAGCCTCCATATAAGTGCCATTCATAGGTTGTTTCAGAATATTTTGGTCTTGATATTTTTAGATATAAGGAACTGCATGTCTGGCAAAAGTCGTCGGCTTACGGCAGTTGTGCTGTCAGTGAGGCCCGAGCTACAAAATGTCAGCTCTAACTGACTAACTGTACTTACTAATTTACTATCACTAATTGCAACTTCAAGCTGAAATATAACTTTTTTTTTTGTAGCAAACCTGGGCTAACTTTCAAGTTTGAACGGCCAAACCGAGTGTTGTTACCTGCAAGGACCAACCCGCTGCCCGGAGCTAACATGCACCCACCAATGGCACTAATCTTGCTCGGGATCGAAAGGAGCAACTTACAGCCTGGTGATGTGGCAGACGGTGCTGATGTTGTAGGAGCAGACGCAGTTAATGGCCGGATTGAATTCGTTGTCTGAATCCATGGCGGTTTCGTTGATGGCGGCACCGCTGCAAGGCTCGCCGCTGATGTTCCACGCCGTGGACGCCCGCAGGCCCCACCGTGAGAAGATGGTGTTCAGCGCGGCCACTGTAATTGTTACGAGTATGAATAAAATTACAGGTGTTTCTCAAAAAAAGAGAAGACACGTGAAGACAATCCGAGCGTGTTAGCATGAACTGAATAAAGTACTAAAATCACGCACCTTCAGACGGACCTGTCTGTGCTTGCCGCTGAGCTCGAGCAGACAGCGCGAGCAGCAGCAGCACAAGGCCGATCAAGCAACAAGACGGCGAGACCAGCAGCTCATGTCGTCGCCTCATCGTTCTTGCTTGGCGTTCCCCCTCTCTCTCGCCTGACTGAGATTAATGGTGAATGGTAACTAGGGCCAGTTCTTTTGGGCGATTCTACCAGAATCGCCCCCCTCCCCAGCTTTTTCCAGAATCGCCACTTCATATGTTTTTTACAATCCTAACTAATTATACCTTAACTAGATAGGATTGTAAAAAATATATGGAGTGGCGATTTTGGTAGAAGTTGGGGAGAGGGGCGATTCTAGGAGAATCGCCGAAAAGAACTGGCCCCTATACTGCTCTGGGATGGGTCCGTTGACCAGGCCATGGCATCAGTTGGTCATCGTTGGCGGCCACAGACTTGTCAACCGCGAAAATATCCAGGGTCCAGGCCCCGCTTGCGCTTGCGCTTGTCAATTCTGTGTAGTGATTCTCCACACGGTTACACGCGTATAATTGGTAGGTGAGCATAAGAATTCCGTATAGCTCTCCACACGGTTCCGTATAATCCTGTACTGTACAACGGGGGAAACGGGCATGAGAACTGAGAAACCTCCATGACAGAACAACGGGTTTCATTTTCAGTCCGCAGAAAATTCAGAACAGAAGTACAGAACACCTGGATGGAACTACAAGGAGCTCAGATAAAATCCATCAAATTGACACACGGGCCAGCACAAATCCGGTGAGAAGGAGTCGCGTTATTCACCTCAATGACGAGGCCGTCCTCTCGGCCGCCGCTGACCCGCCATAGCTCGTGGGTGAGGCGCATGTCGGCGGCAGTGAGCGTCGGACAGTACGGCTGATGACCACGACTCTATGAGCTACCTGCGGCGGAGCTCTACAAGGACCAGTCAGTCGTATACATATTCAGCTCCATTGGCTCGAATCTAGATCTTGGCGACCTAATCCTGGAACGTATGGTGATGCGGGGACGGGATCTTATAGGGCGGCAGAGGCGCAGGGCGCTGGCGAAAGCTGCTTGAGCAGCGGGAGTGAGAAGGGGCGTCGTCGCATGGGGCGACGAGGTGTTGCGCCGCTGGTCGGAAGGCCGCCGCCATGGGCGCTCCGCTCATCTTCATCCTCGAGTAGAAGAGCCCGACATTGTCGCATTAGAGTGAAAGCTCGGCACCTCTGTTACTACTTTACAGCCCAAAAACGGCGCGCCCTCGTTAATACTTCTTTTTTTCACGCTACACGGCCTCTTTTACTAGTTAGACATGATTTTGGGTCGATCCTATTCCGCGCGGAATACGCGATCAAATGCGCACCCAGGTCGCTGGCTGATGTAGCTCGGACAGCTATTTTAGGTTTCTGAGAAGGGTCTTTCCACTGTTTTTCCTTTTCCTATGTTTCTTTGTGTCGGTTTTCAAAGATTCTCTCATTTTATTTTTACTTATTTATTGTTGACTATCTTTTTCTTTTTTAAAGTTGATGGATATTTTCCAAATCCGTGAACGTTTTCTGAAATTCTGGATTTTGTAAAATTATTGAATATTTTCTGAAATTCGGAACATTTTTTAAAATCAAGGAAAATTTTCAATTCCTAAACACATTTTTCAATGCATGAATATTTTTCGTATTCATGATTTTTTAAAAATCCAGGAACTTTTTTTAATCTAGAAATATTTTTTAAAATTCAAGAATATTTAGAAATTCATGAAGATTTTTATATACGAGACATTTATCAGTTAATAGTGAATGTTTTGGAATTTGAAACATTGCTTGAAATCCAGAAAATAAATCAAAGTCATAAACATTTTTAAATTTGTGGACCAATTTTTAATCTGTGAACATTTTTTTCAAACTCACGAATCATTTTGTACACAAACACTTTTTGAATTAATTAACTTTTTTCCAAATTCACGGATATTTTCCAAATCACGAACATTTTTTGAAATTTGGCAATATTTTCCAAATTCATAGACATTTTTTGAACTCGCAAACATTTTTTCAAATTCATCAACATTTTTTGAATTCATAAAAAAATTCCAAATCATGAAAAATTGAATTCATGATTTAAAAAAAATCAGAACCTTTTTGGAATTCATAGACTTCTTTTAAAGTACTAACTCCGTTTCTAAATATTTGTCTTTCTAGAGATTTTAACAAGTGACTACATATGGAGCAAAATGAATGAATCTACACTCTAAAATATGTCTATATACATCCGTATGTGGTAGTCCATTTGAAATATCTAAAAAGAAAAATATTTAGAAATGAAGGGAGTACATATTTTTTTAGCTGGTTTAGAAAAAGACTAAACTCTAAACATGTCAGACGAGACACCTATTCCCAAATTAAATTTAACCGAGCAAACGGCCTAGCCCACTGGGATAGTGTCACGGTGAGGGATAGGTGAATAGTCCGCGTTTTATGCGCGGGGCAGGAGGTCTCGTAACTTTTATTGGGGTTGTAAACTACACCAGGATTGGGTCAGTTTTTGACTATCTAACTCGGGCGTTTTTTTTCTCAGAAAAGGGCGGGTTTTCTATCAGTGAAGGGGAACATGGATGGGGGTGGTAGTTAGTAGTCCCAAAACTTACGCCGAATAGGCACAATCACTCTAGTGGGAATCAACACGTATTTACTTATAAAAAACATGATTTTGTTGACAATCTAATAAAATGTGAGCCAGTAGAGGTTGTTTTTAAGGGAGGGGGGGTCAGTGGCGAAAAGACAATTGTGGGAGCGACGTACACCAAAAGAAGGTAGATGAAGGGAGGAACGGAACATGAACCTTATTTTTTTAAAGTAAAATATATATAAGAGGGAAGAAATTCTATAGTTCTATACTAGTTTTATCTCTCAGTTATAGGGTTCCTCTCTCCCTCTCGCATCTGCGGTAGCTAGGGCACTAATCCCCCCTCAAGCTTCGCCGGGGAGCCCGTGGATCCACCTGTCCCTCAAGCGGCTGGTGCTTTAGGTTAGGTGTTTTTCTTATAGGGGCGGCATTCCGCGGAATGGCAGCGCTTCATCTTCTAGTTGGTCATCCAGACTATGATCCTCCTCGAGTTCGTCCATCAGGATGGGGTTGATGAAACTCTGGCATACATTCTTACCGACTCCTTGGGGCGGTGAGGTTAGCTTTCCTTGTCGTATGTGCGTGCTTGCGAGATTTGGTGCTAGGCGCTTCAGATCAATTCATTGATTCGATGGCGACAACTGTGGCTCTGGAACGCTGGTCCTTATGAGCACTTCCGAAGACTTCCAGGGTGTCATCGATAAGGTCAGCCCAACTCTATTAGAGGAGCGGCGAAGGCTGCTCATTCTGGCGGCAGTAGTTGTTCGGTGGTACAAGGTCCTTGATGTATTTTTTTTTGCTATGTTTTGGGGGTGCTTTGCACTTCTTACGACCCTTCATAATAGTTCTAGGGCCTTTTAGCAAAATAAGTAAATCTTATACTTGTTCGTTTGGTTTATGACCCTACTAAATTTTAATGATGACCAAAATATCGATCTTGCTGGTTGACCAATATTGTGTATGCCATACTATGTAGCTAACTCTAGTTGATTTTCCTTTGGCAAAAAAGGACATACAACACCTTAGCAAACATATTGGCTAGTCAAAATATCAATGAGGTCTCCTTGGGCTCAAATCGAACAGATCCATACAATAGGCCCACCATGCAATCAAAAAAAACATGGCGGCATAATGAGTCAAACTTTCCCAAAGAAAATGGCAAACCCTATTTGGCGCTTCAAACGCTGGCTGTAGTTCAACCTGCAAGCCGGCGCACACTACACCGTAGTTCTAGGCCGGCCCATTCTAAAAGGGTGCGATTGACAGTGATCAAACCCGCGATCTCTTCTTCCAAGTGAAGGACACTAACCACTACGCCACTTTGACGCTTGTGAATACCTATTTCTTTTTTACATTTCTATGTACAGGGACCCCCCCTACTCTTTCAATTTTTTTCTTTTTTTGTTTCCTATTTCTTTTTTATTTTCTTAAATTCATGAACTTTCTTGAAATCAAAGATTTGTTTTTAAATTTGATGAACTTTTTTCAATTTAAACGAACATTTTTCAAGTTTGATTGACTTTTTTCCAAAATCAATGAACTTTTCTAACATTTTGGTGAACTTTAAAAAAATCAATGAACTTTTCTAACATTTTGGTGAACTTTAAAAAAATAAATGAACTTTTTTCAAATCCGATGAACTTTTTCAAAATTCATCAACTTTTTTTCAGATTTGTGGACTTTTCTTTTCAAAATTTATGAACATTGTTTCAAATTTGTGAAATAAATCAAAATTGATGAACATTTTTTTCAAATAAATAAACCTTTTTCAAATTCCTAAACTTTTTTTCAAAATTCTTGAAAAGTTTTGAATTCACAAATTTTTTTTGCAAATTTTTCAGGTTTTTTCTGAAACTTGCTAACTTTTTCTCAAATTTGGAAAAAAAATATCATGTCTATGATTTAATTTTTCTTCCAAAAATAAAAGGGCAAACTGGTGCACCATCCAGATGCTGTGAGCCCCGACTAACAAAAAGATACATGCGAGCCCTGATTTCACGTTTTTCTTGGCCGGCCCGCTATATCTCTCCTTTCGAGCGCCAGGATGGCTAACAGACACTGAGAGCGCCTATTAGGAGCACCCAAAGAAAACATAGTGCTTCAAACGAAAGAAAACACAACTGGTACTATCATCGTGACATCTACCGAAACCATATCAAAACAGTCTGGTATTTTCAGTTCAATTTTTTTAACAGTCTGGTAGGTTCTTCCTCCGTAAACTAATACTAAAAGTGTTTATATCACTATTTTAGTTATCTAAACATTTTTATATTCCCCGCAAAAAAATGTTTTTATATTAGTTTACAGAGAGAGTATTTGTCAATAGAGAAAAGTCTAATTTTGTCCCTCAACTAATGGATAAGGCCGGAATGGCCTCGGTCAGTGAACGACGAATGACGATTGGGCGTGGAGCCAGGGGAACCAGCTAGCGAACAAGCACCCGTGCCGGAAAACGAAACGCTCCAACGGGAACCGGGAGCAACGGATTCCAACATGAGACAAGAACGTAGCTGCTGCGTGCACCAGCTAGGCCTTGTCTGGGTTCGCCCAACCCAGTGGCTAGTTCGTAGCCACACACGATCGACCACTGTTCTCCTCTATCCACAACTTGTCTGTTGGTAACAATTCGTAGGCACACACGATAGACCACTGTACTTGTGGAGTACTAAAACTTTTCAGCACTAGCCAGTCGCCCTTCGCCCAAGGAATCATAAGAATCATGAGGCCTCGTTTGGCAGGGGGCATTTTGCAGCCTCGGAGTAGAGGAGGATCTAATGGGAATTGGTTAATCCCTCTCTTCCATCCAATCCTCTTAATTCACCGCTAATCCCTCCCTTCTCATAAACTCCTCTATTTGGTTAAACCTTCTACAACAGCAGCAGCAAAGCAAGCGTCCAGTTACATGGATGCCTTGGAGGGTTTTCTATACCACATGGATTGAGGGGGATTCGTGAGGAACGGAGAGGATTGGCCTGCTCAATCTCTACGTGTCAAATGAGCTGACAAGAATTTCTAAGGATTTTAAACCTACGAGGATATTCCCCTCCAAACCTTCCCAAACCTCCTCCATTAAACAAGGCCTTAAGAAAAAAAACAGAGTAATAATATCATTTTTTTTTGAAACCAGGCAAAAGATTTGCCATTTTCATTAAATAAGAGAGGAGGTTCAGACATATGTCGCAACGCGACCAAAAGAAAAGACTACTCTCGCAACATAAGACTACTCAAATGCTTGGCCCCCGCCAAAGTCCACATGTGGGCCTCTTCTTTAATTCTCGTGACGATAATTGTGGTCGGAGTCGCGGCGTTGCGAAAAATTCTGGCATTTCGTTCTTTCCATATCTCCCATGAGACAAGCATCATAATAGAGGCAAGAGCCTTTCTGTTATGATCCGCGTTGCTCACCGCCTTTTGCCACCAAGATCGAACAGAAACTTCATTTCGCCAAATCATTGGTGAGCAGTCGTGTATTCCCAGCCAAATGGTAATCTCGTTCCAAACTCTATTCGTGAATCTACACTGAAATAGTAGGTGGGCAGCAGACTCTTGAACTTGCTTGCAAAGGGGGCAAAGGTTGCAATTGGGCCATCCCCGTCGAGACAAGCGATCGGCCGTCCAGACTCGGTTCTGGAGAACTAGCCAAGCAAAGAACTTGCATTTGGGAGGAGCCCACATCTTCCAGATCATGGAAGTATTGGTACTGTAGGTGAGTCCCGCAAATTGCGCCAAGTAAGCCGAGGACGTCGTGTACTCTCTGTTGGTTGTGAATTTCCACGAAATAGTATCTTGTCTATCTTGGCTTAGGGTGACACCGGCAACCATCTCCCAGAGGTTGGCGAACTCCTGCAAGTGCGTCAAGGTGAGGCCCTGTGCGGTGTTGATCTGATGGATCCAAAAATTGTTGTCCAAAGCCTTGCTAACCACACAGTTCTTCCTTTTTGAAATCTCAAAGATTTTAGGCGCGACATCTTTGGGTCGAAGACCATTCAGCCAAGAGGATTCCCAGAAATTAGCCTTGTTGCCATCACCAATTGTCACCGTCGTGGCCGCCGCAAAGAGATCTTTATCCTTGTCAGAGCAAGGTGTTCCCATCCGAGCCCACGGTTTTGGCGGGTCTGCCCACTCAAACCACAACCAACGGAGGCGTAGAGCAGTAGCAAATTTTTCCAGGTTGAGCACACCTAGACCCCCATGAACTTTGGGCTTGCAAACTAGATCCCAGTTCACCTTGCACTTGCCTCCCGTCACCTTATCACATCCTGCCCAGAGATAGGCACGTCTGAGACTATCAATCTTTTTCCTCACTTCAACAGGAAGGTCCAGCGGGGTGAGGTGATATATCGCAATCGCCGTAAGCACAGCCTTGACCAGGACGATGCGCCCTGGGGTAGCCACATGAACGGCCGACCAGGGCGGGAGCTTGGCAGCCACCTTATCTTCTAGATATTGGAAGTGGATGCGCTTTAGTCTTGCAACCGAGAGCGGTAGGCCAAGATATCTCATGGGAAAGGTGGCCCGGACCGCCGGGAAGGCCTGGAGAATGCCATCCAAATCGATGTTGGCACAACGGATGGGAGCCACATGACTTTTGTTATAGTTGGTGACCAGACCGGTAACTTCACCAAATGAGCCGAGCGTGGATGCCAAGAACTGGATATCCTCCTTGATAGGAGCAACAAAGATGGCCGCATCATCTGCATACAGGGAAGCCCGGGTGGGATTACCTCGGAGGGGGTGTAGTTTGCCTTGCTCAGTCGCCTTAGCTAGGATGTGATGGAGCGGGTCAATGGCCAAGACAAAGAGGAGGGGGGATAGGGGGTCCCCCTGCCTAAGTCCACATCCGTGCAAAATGGGGTCCCCAGGCACCCCATTTAGAAGAACTCTGGATGATGCCGTGGATAAAAGGGCGGATATCCAGTCTCGAAAGCGGCTTGGGAAATTATGATGTCTCAATAAATCCATCAAGTAGTCCCATCTAACCGAGTCAAACGCTTTCTTGATGTCTAGCTTGAAGAGCAAGGTCGGTGATTTGTTGCGGTGGAATCGACGTGCCAAGTTTCGGACGTACATAAAGTTATCATGGATGCTCCTTTTCTTGATGAAAGCACTTTGCGTGTCGGAAACGAGGGTGGACATATGAGGAGCGAGACGTGTGGCCATCATCTTTGCAATGATCTTCGCAACCGCATGGATGAGGCTTATGGGCCTAAAGTCAGAAATGTCCTCTGCCCCCTCTTTCTTTGGAATGAGGGCAATATTTGCCGAGTTGAGCCAGTGGAGGTTGGAGATGTGGAGGGCTGAGAAGTTGTTGATTACTCTCATAATGTCCGGCCTGACGATGTCCCAACATTCCTTGAAAAACACTCCAGTGAAGCCATCTGGCCCCGGCGCCTTATCACTGGGAAGATTATTGATGGCTGCGTGGACCTCCTCTTCGGTGAAGGGGTTGCCTAGCTCCGCAAGGTCAAGAGCCGAATGCGGGATGCAATCCCAGTTAAAGTCCCTGGCACGCGGGGGGGCCTTCCCAATAGCCTTAGAAAAGTGTTGCTGGATGATTTCTTTCTTGTGGTCATGGTGTGTGGCCCACCCATTATTGTGTTTGAGACGGTGAATGAAGTTCTTCCTTCTACGGTGATTGATGCGGAGGTGAAAAAAGCGAGTGTTAGCATCTCCCTCTTTGAGCAACGCGATTCGCGAGCTTTGCCTTTTCCGTGCTCGTTCAAGAACCGCCAAGGCCAGGACTTTCCTTTTCAGCTCCTTTCTAAGGTTCCACTCAGCTGGGCTGAGTGTCCTTAGCTCTTGCGCGACGTCAAGGCGAAGAATGATCTCGAGAGCCATGTGTAGCTGGACTTTGTGGTTAGAGAAGATAGCCTTGCTCCAGGCCCGCAGTCGTTGGCTCGTTCGTTTAAGCTGTGGAAGAGTATCTGGTATGGCTCCGTGTGGGTAATCTCTTCATTCCAAGCATCAATGACCGTTTTCTTGAAATTAGGCATCCTGACCCAGAAATTTTCAAAGCGAAAGGTTTTTGGTCGCTTCGGGCCCTTGTCGCAAGTTAGTAGCAGCGGGCAGTGATCGGAAAGCGAGGATGATAGTGCATGAAGGATGTGAGAGCCAAAGTCAACATCCCAATCATCATTACAGAAAAAACTATCTAACTTGCTCAGTGTCGGGTTGGTCTGCTCATTGCTCCATGTATATTTCCTATTCTGTAGATGTATCTCTTTTAGCCCAGATGAATTGAGGGCGTTTCGGAAGCGAACAAGGCGACTACGGTCAACATTTGAGCGGTTTTTGTCGCAGGCACGGTAGATCTGATTAAAATCACCTGCGACAAGCCACCTTGTACCCTGTTGTGGTTTCAGGCTTAATAGCTCTTGGAAGAACGCATCTTTCAGGTTGCTTCTTGTAGGTCCGTAGACCGAAGTGAATTTGAAGGAGGTGTTGGTGCTGACAAGGGTGATGTTTGCAGAGATACAAAAGTTTCCAACAGAAACATTGTCCAGCTTGATGTAATCTTCATTCCATAGAAGAAGAATTCCCCCTTTTGTTCCATCCGCCGGCTTTTCAACAAAGTTCTTCAGTCTTTGGCCACCCAGAAAAGATGCAAGGAATGGGTCGACCCCTGACAATTTCGTTTCCTGGAGGCACACTAGGTTGCACGGGGTAGCAGCAATGGTCTCGTGGACGGTGGCGCGACGATTTGGGCAGTTAAGACCGCGAACATTCCAGTTTAGAACTGAGAGACTTTCATTCATTGCAAACACAAGCTACATCAGTGCAAGCAGACGACGTACATATTAGCCTTGCCAAGGCAGCAACATCAGGTAGCAATGGATCATTGCTACAAACAGGCACCACTAACACTACGGACATGTCTTCATAATTTAGACAACTAATCATCTAAACTGGGCTACAACATTAAGGAGCAGAGCAGCAGCTTCAGGCAGAAGCAGAAGCAGTTGCCTCGGCAGGGCCGTGGTCTTGGGGCTCCAGGCCAGCATCTCCACCGTGGTCCAGCAGAGCGTCTTCGACTGCTGCGGCAAGGTCACAATCCAGCCTAAATAGTGCTCGGAGAGCAGCAATGGCGATGTCTGGTAGCTGCCCACGAAAGAGGGCCACGTACTTGTTGATAGCAGCCTCAGTGATCATCTCACCCTCTTCCACCACTCCCATGCGCTGGCAAAGCAACCTCTCAGCTAGCTGGGCGATTGGCATTTCTCTGTTCTTTGCCTGCAGTCTTGGGCTGCTACGAATCAGGTTCAGACCTGTCACACCCGCAAGAGTCTTCCTTCTGGTTGTTGGCGGTCTCGGCGGGGTGGAGTTGGGCGCCGGGAGAATGGCGGGAGGCAGTGGCACAAAGAGGGGGGTGCCAGCAGCCTCACCCTGCACCAGCGAAACCGCAGGCACAGGGCCCATCTCTATCTGGTTTTCCACCGTGCAGCCTGTCAGGGCAGGAACATGGAGCGGTGTGCTGGGGCTGGGAGGCAGGGAGCCAGCACGGTGCCGCTGCCGCACTGGAGAAGCCCAGCCTGGAGGTGCTTCTGGAGTCACCGGGGAGCCCAGGCACGGAGCTGCCCGCCGGAGCCAGTCAGGGATCAGCGACGACGGCCTCAGCTCGATGATGTCACTGGAAGTGGTCCGCGGTGAGGGTGGCGGCGATCTTCCTCGGTTGTCCTCGCTGCGCTGGACGGTGGCCACCTCGCAGGATCGCGAGCGCCGCTCTGGACAGGCCGCCCGGTGCCGGGCCCGCCTGCCCGAGGCCGGGATCACTGCCCCATCAGGAAGGCGCTGGACACGTGCGTTGTCAACCTTCCGGGCGTTCGGCGACAGAGGCTCCAAGCCGCGCCTCCTGCCGCTGTCATAGCGGCCCCTGGAGTCGTGGTCGTCATGGTGCCGGTCTTCACGTGGTCCCCTGCTGCGATCATCATCACGTCGAGGAGCCCTGGAACGGCTCCGAAACAAGCCACGCCAGGAGGACTCCTGACGATCGTTGCGCCTTCCACGCCCATCATGCTCGTCGTCTCTGTCGCGGTCGTCGTTGCGTCGCTCTCGACGGTTGCCCTCATCCTGCCGGTCGCGTGCACGGGACTCGCCGTCCACAACTCCAAGTCTCCAGGTGAAAGGAGGGTGCGTGCGTGGGCGTCGGGGGACCTTGCCGTCCGCGCCAGGGGTGTAGTCCTCGATCAGGTCCAGGTGGACCAGGACACTCCGCTTGAGCCCCTGGCGCCCGACAGCGGGGTTCGGTGCGCTGCTTCCTGGTGGCTGGTTGTTGGTGAAGGTGGCCTGCAGCACTTTGGGTATCTTGCTAGGATCTGCTGACCAAGCCCACAGGTTGAGTGTGGCGGCGTCCTCACACTGCACGGAGGCGATGTCGAAGTAGTGGAGGAAGGTATCCGGCCCCAACACCTGAGCAGCAACGGCGTCGTTCCAGGCGTTGAGCGGGACATTTTCGAGGCAGATGTGGACGTGGAAGTCAGCTTGAACTACCTCGGCGTGGGCGTTGAGTCTCCACTTGGCAATGTGGATGTCTAGGTTGCCGAAGTCGGAGCTGTAGTGGGAGAAGCGGCCTGGGCCGGCCGTCGCCAAGTCTCGGTGATGCTGGTAGTCGAATCTGACGAGAAAATCCTCCGGATAGAAAGGCACCACCTTGACATAGGCGCGGTCGATGCCGGCGGAAGTGGCGACCGCGTCCCTGATGACGGAGGCGCTGACCGATGGGCGGTTTCCGCCGAGCCAGGCAACAGCCGCAAGATTGGCGAGGCTGGCTGCCTGGGCGTCCATGGCCGGCGTGGAGGTGATGACCACATGGCCCTCCGATGGGCGCAGCGAGGGATCCCCGACCCGTGGCATCTCGTTCCCGAGCAGCAGGGGCGCGGAGGTCGGTTGGCCCGGGGCAGCAGAGCCACAGGAAGTTGAGGAAGCTGGTGGGGCGACCGGCAGATTTGAGGGAGACGGGCTGCAGACGAGCGAAGATGATGGAGGCGAGGCGCTGGAGCACTGCCGCGCACGGTGGCCGCTTCTTCTACACATCATCATCATGCTCACTTGCTCAGGCTCAGCACAACAACCCAGCGCAATGCACAGTGCACACATGCATGTATGCGCCGAATCAGCCGCACTTCACGCACGCACGCCCATGAAACTCATGTGCTGCGTTGCACGGAAATCTGACAAGAGATTCATGGGGATGTCTGTCGAGCCAGCTTGCACTATTTCCTTCTCTTTTTTCCTCGGTTCAGAAAGTACAGACCGACCCTTGCGCCAAAATTGCACGGCAGGACGTGCTCCGTGCAAGCCGCCCTAACGCTGGTCGGTAGGTCACGTCGTAGTAGTACGTCGTAATTGGCAGGTGAGACAAGGATTAATTAAGAGCTCGAGACGGACCGCAACAAAGGAGGGACGACGGCTCATCTGGCCGCTAAGAGTAACTCCAATGGGGGGCGACTCATTTCGTCCGCGACCGTCCGCTTGGATCGACGCGGATAAAAAAGTCGGTCCAATGTGCCGACTTAAACGAACACGCGTCCGCTTTCGTCCGTCTGCCGATTTATTTTTGATTCATTTTTTAGTCTGATTTGCGTCGGCGCGGACACGCGACGAACGCGCGCGCTCGTCCTTTTTTCTCACCGAGCCCGCTGGGCGATGGCACATTGGATTTATACCCTCGCCCTCCTGCTTCGTCGTCGACGCCGCCAGCCATTTTTCAGATAAAAATGGATACATAGATAGTTTTAGTGTACATAGATAAAAGAAAAGACCACTACTCGTCGTTTTCTGACTCCGACTGGGTAATGTCCTCCACGTCTGAATGTAGGCGTGAGCATGTTGCTCGTCTTCAAAGTCTCAACCCGACGTTTCTCGTAGTTTCAGTTTCAATTGAGTGGCCTGCTTCCGCGAACGTTTGTCCTCCCGATAGACGGCTCGCTCCCTCCTCCTCGCGTCCCTCTCCAACCTCCTTTGCTTATAGAATTGGCGCTCCTCGACGATGTCTTGCGGGAAGCGTTCGCGCCACACCGCCAAGGCTTCCACGTCCATCTCGGCGATGGCGAGGCGACACTGCCGCCTCCGGTGGACACGACGATCCTCGTCGGTGAAAAGCCGCGGGAGAGGCGCCAGATCTTGCGCCCGCTGGCTCGACACATCGGGAAAATTCATGTCTCGACGAGGCCTCAGGAGGCGCCACGGCACCGCGTCGTGTGCGCGGGCCACCTCCTCTGCGGTGTCGAAGGTGCCGAGGATGAGACGTTTCTCGCGAAACCAGATCTCGGAGAAGAAGGCGCCGGAGGGGCGCTCGCGGACTCCGCGAAAATCCGAAGCGCCCAGGCGGCGGATCGACATGGTGGCGTAGAGGCGGCGAGGCTAGTGAGAGGGCGCGAGACGAGTGAGCGGCGGACAGAGTATGGAGGGAGCGTCTTCTTATAACGAGCGCCGGTCGCAGCGCGCACGCGAACCTTTCCTGCGCGCGCTAGGCCGCTTTCCCCGCGCGCGCGGACCTTTCCCACGCTCTGGAGCGCCAAAATCAGGACGACGGCATGGACACTGATATGATCTAAAACACGCGGGTCATGATATGGGTCGGCCTGTTGGGCGCATTGCCGACCCAAAACTAAAAAAGGACGGACGGCCGACCCAGACAAATAAAAAAGGGACAAAAACCGTACCCGTTGGAGTTGCTCTAACCACTGTCATCACCAATCGCTGTCACGGGCCAGCTAAGCTTATGCTAGCTCGATCCACAGGAGTACGAGCTACGAACAGATCTCCTTTTCCAAATTTATACGTCCCCGGGTCCGGACAAGCCGGTAAACCCGTTCCACCGGGACCCGCTCGTCAGCGGCTCCCCGCTTTGGTGCCATAACGTAGGGCGTACTACTGTAGCGGTGATGATTAATTAATGGAGCGAGTGATTTGTCGAGATGGTGTGGGATTTGGTTCGTTGAGCCGTCCAAATCACGTGAGCCCAAGCAAGAGAGGCCGTGGCGCCATGCAGATGCAGAGCACCAAGAAGACGGACGGTGCGCGTGCTGGTCCGTCCGGCCCGAATTCAACTCGATCACCCCAAAACTGGGTGGCGCCCCGCCTCGGTCCATCCATCCATCGACAACGGGACACGCCGTAATCAACTCCGTGTCTGGTTCACGAGGCTGACGGGGGCATGTTTTGCGGAACGAACAAGTGCCGACAGCCTGTCCATCTCCAACGAACCAGGATCTTCATCCTCTCTTATTTTCAACACCATCCCACAAAACTCCCGTTGAGCCGTTCGGATGTACTTGCATCCAACGGCCCAACGTGGCTCTGTAATTTGCTTGTCTGGATTCTCACAAACCAAACTCAAACCTACGGGCATTCAGACGTCACTCACGTAGGACTTCCGCACCCTCCCACTCTCAGATCACTTTTCTCCACTACGCCCCTGCCCCCCTCCCTCCCGAGCGCTCTACATCGGCAGCTCTGCACCCTCCTCGTTCGCGCCGTGGTTGTACCTCGCTCTCTGAGCACATCTCACGCTCGCACGGTTGTCCGTCTTGGACTATGTTGGCGTCCACTCTGGATCCGTCCGCAGCCAAGTACCCTCCCCCCTGTCGATGTCGTCCCTAGCCGACACCCGGCTTGGCATGTGTTTGGTCAAATCCCATTAAGCTTTTTGTTGCCCTTGCAGCCTGTTTGGTAAACACCCGGGCAAGGAATGGGAGTCTGCACATGGATGTTTATGATAGGATTAGGCGTGGGAAGTAGATTTTTACTCCCATTCCCTTGTTTGACATATGATGAGAATTGACGTGGGATAGAACTCTGCTCACAAATTAACAGGGTACCCCCTGGGAAGAAATCGGTGGAAATTGGCTTCCTCAACTCCCAGTCCCCTTCCCACTTAAACTCCCAGTCCCCTTCTCACTTAAACTCCCATTCCCTCTAATCAAACAGTGCACTTTTAATCTCCTTACCCCTCAACTCCCATTCCCCATCTCTAATTCCCCCGAACCAAACACGCTCCTAGAGTAAGCACGATGGCAGGATACTCGATGACGGAGGTTAAGTTGTTATGCGATGCATGGTTGGCCGTATCTCCGGACTTTATAGGCATGAGGCAAGGGGGCTCAGCCTTTTTGGCAAAATGTGCATTCTTCGTTTCATGAGCAAAAGCACTCTCCGCCCTATGACTTGCACGTTTCGTGAACACAATGTGAAGTCGCTATCCCATCTATGGCACACCATCTCCAACTCTATTATGAAGTATTGCGGTGCGACTACACAAGTGGAGAGAAGGTGATCACCAGGTGCGTCAATCATGTAGATTGTAAGTTTTGCTTCTTGTTGCTCTAAATGTTGGTCAATTTATTGATTCACTCAATGTTGCACTTGATAATCATCACATTCAATAATCCAGACACATTGTCGTGATGTACCACAAAATCGAGGGCATCCCATTTATGTCATACATTGTTTGATCAAGCTCAAGAGGCACAATGACGACATGTGCGGTTTTTGACTTGAGTATCATTGAATTCGAAAAACTTGTTGAACATCTGGTTATCTTGGATATAACATTTATATTTGAAATATTATTGTACCATAGATATTTGCATGTTATTTATAGATGAACTGCAGTATTGCCGAGTCGGCGGAGACGACGCTTGGCTGTATCCAACGTCATCACAAAGCGATCCAGGGCCAGGCGTACGCCAGGTCTGGGTCCACCGCGATGTGTGGCGACGGGACGGCGGAGTCCGCGAACTGGGATCGGAGTGCAGCGTTGCGCTTGTCCCATTGGCGCTGCTCCCAGACGGCATCATGGCGCTCCGGGACGACGACGAGGAGGAGGAGGAGCCGCCGCGGAGGTAGTGCAAAATGCGCACGCGTGTCTTGGGCAGCGGGAGGGGTGGTGAGCTGCGCTCCTCCTTGACGACGCGACGAGGCGTGCCGGGGCGGATGCTAGAGCCTCTCTTCCTTCACAGCGCGCCGGGGCGGTGGCGAGAGCCAATCTTCACGCGGCATCCGACTTGGACGCCGCTGCTGCGCGGCGGCGGAGAGCGTCGAGGGGATGTCGGCTCCGGCTTCACGGGGAGGAGCGCCACCGGTGCCAGAGCCGGGCCGTTGGTGTGGATGACGGAGCGATGAAGCATCAGCTCCATCTCCATTTGCTTCTCGAACTCCGCGTCGGTGCCGGCGTAGACCTGGCCTGGCACCGTTGGCGCGGACTGCGGCGGCTGATGGTCCTCCTCGTCGCCGGAGGAGATGATGATCTCCGCAGGCGTCAAGTCACCGCCAGCCCATGAGGACAACGGCCCCAGAGTCCGAGGGAGGCGTCTCCACGAGCCGCCGGATCCCGCCCAGAACCGCCTGCTAGCGCCGATGCCCAGGACTTGCCCATCGCCGGGGATATGGAAGGGGGTGCGACGAGGAGGAGGAAGAAGGAGAAGGATGCGACATGGACAGTGCCAGAGCGTGGCTTAAATAGCCACTACCAGGCCATGCGAAGGGCTGGTCAGCCACTTCAATGCGGCCCAGCGGCCGGAGTTGGTTCCTCGGAAACATGTGTCTGCATTGAGGCAGCGACTGCCAAGAGGGCGCCTCGGTCAGCGCCGCCCTCCCTTCCTCCGGTCACATCGCGGCATCACCAGCGTCTGCGTGCTCTGGGTCGACATGAATGCGGCGCGTGCATAGGAAAGAAAGCGCGAGAGGGGCGGGTGACGGGGTTTTGATGGGTCAGGGCGGTCAAAAACGGGCTTGGGAGCGATACGCACTCCCTCAAACCTCCCCCACTTTTGTTTCGGTTTGTGAAAGAAATCGTGTCCAGACCGTTCCTCGAATTGATACAGATCGACGTTGGATGGCTTCGATGGTTC